AACTTTGCCGCTCATATGGAATCCACCAATATGGGACATCAAGTTGACTGCCCAAGCAGGATTTCCTAAGCAATCATCTAGAATTCTACGGGGGGGGTATGCATTAATAGCTATCTCAGGGCTACCTTATTCGAAAGCGAACAACATGACTCCAAATTAGTTCTTGGATAAGTTGATGTTTTTTAAAATTGCATTTGTGCTCAAGGTAATTAGCCCATTTTAGTGTTTTTAACCGCACCTGAGATACCCGGTTTTGGTCAGGTCGCCACAAAATCTTCCCCAATTGTGCCTCTTTATCTGAGACTTGAACTGACCGTGACGGAATGACATACCAAGGTTGCATAGAGTCTGAACTAGCGACGGTAAAGAGTCTTTGTATTTATAGTATCATGTATCTGTTAAGTTTTAAAAGTCTGGGAGAGAATAAAGTCAAATCTTCAGTTTTTGGCGACTGATATCTTGCAAAATTATTTAATTTACTTGATTTAGTGGCCTTATTCGAATGTAGAAACTAGTGAAAGACGACGCTCTATCTTCACCACGGTGTCTTTCGCTTTTATTTTTGTTGGATTTTGTTGTGTAAAAGGGTTTGGGCGCTTTGGTAGAAGTCTGACCGTATGCCCCTCCAGTCGAAGACCTTTTTATATACAAAGTAATGAGTGTTAAGTTTCTGAGCGACAACCAAACCACCTATGATTCGATCTCTTGACTACGCCAAATTAATTTCGATTTTTGCATGGTTTCATCGTTATAATTCTTCGGATCATAGAATGTCTATTGACCTACTGAGCTAGCTAAACATTCAAGGTAGAAAAGAGTATAAGTATATGAGGTTCTCTAGATCTCAAATATTTAAGTAAATACCAAATTTTACCAAATCAGCCTCGTTTGGTCGGATTTGAACCTACTACAGCGAAGGCAATACTGTAAACTGATCTACGTGGCCGTTGCCGTGAGCCTTGACTGTTTCAAATTTTTACTTAGTTGCCCCATGTATTCTATATGTTTAACCTACTAAGACATGCTCATTCAACCTAATATGTTAGAATTTATAGTTTCCTTGGGGTCCAGTAGGTCGGGTCAACAGCATACGTCCTTAATAACGAGTGAATGCTCTCGGTCAGGCCCTCCTTTGTCTGGTGGTTAAAGTAATGGCTTTAGATGAAGCCTTTCACTCACTCTTGTGGATCTTAATTTAACCGATCTCACTTAGTTCTTCGCAAACGGATTTTTAGTTAAAATATTACGATATTGGTTTGAGTGTAAGGAGATGTACACAGGTGAGGAACTAATTCTTGTGTCGTTTCATCAGGCTAACGGAAAGCCACGCACTACTGCTATTTACCATTTTGCATGCAATAGAAAAGCATTTTTAACTTCTTCTTTTTACATCCAGAATTCTTTAAAAAGTAAGCATTCCCAGAAGGCCTGCTTTTCATAAGGAGGCTGTGCAAATAAAGTAATCCTAAAGTTGGTGCAATAGAGATACTTGAAACAAATCATATTGTCTAACCGTGATTACCATGGACCATCGTAATGACCTCTACACATTTAACGTTAAATTGGATGTTAGTTGAAGCACACAGCATCCATAGGAATGTCAGACGTTATAATTCAGAGAAGGGAAAATTCAGGCCGTAAAAATGCGCCAGAATGCAGTCTTTTGGTCGCATAACTTTATGCTGATGCGAATCCACGCCCACTAGTAAATGGCTCAACGTGTAGAAATATGACTTTCCTTGAGCTACGTTCCTTGCGCTCAACTAATGGTTTATGAATCGATCCGCGGACTCCCTAATGTTGTAAAATTACCTAACTTTTGATGCATACAATTTTCCAATGCCTGATGTAGCCAGTGTGCCAGGTGTCGCACAAACGAATACATTTCGAGAATGACTTAAGCCGATTTTTACAGGACGTCCCAAATTCTGTTTCATGCAGGTTGCAGCTATGACTTCCATCGAGGATCCACTGTTGGTAAAAGTTTAATTTAGGCTCCAGAACAACGCGCGAAAACCCAATCCTTCTGTAATACGGGATAGGTTGTAACAGGGGTTAAATGAATGGGGTATATTAGGGAAGTGAAAAGAACTTAAAAAAGTGGAGCGTAGAAAAGAGGAAAATAATAGGGGTAATAATTTAAGCGCGATAATTAAAATGAGAAATTTAACCAATAGAAAGTAAGAAGCCCCAATAGTGGACAAAATCGTCGACTCTACGTCAAATCTATATAACCTCTGTAGAGGTGATAAAGAGATAGCTTCTAAGCCAAAACAACCGCACTTTGTCAAAAAGGGAAACAAACTCAAAATAAACTCACTAAAAGTGAACTAAACGAAAAATTAAACTCAAGTTCCGTTAGCGGTAGGGTGAACATTCATCAATGAGTGTCGATATCCCTCGACCTAACCTGGCAAGACAGCGATCTCATGGCTCAATGGTTAGGACGTTTGTCTCTGATTAAACTGTCGCGAGTTCGAGGCTCGGGTCGGACACCACTTGGGTCGGGGTATGACTAGCTGACGACTGCTAATAAGCCAGAAATGGCCATTCCAGTCTCCTCTGTCTTTGCTGGAAATACTATCTGCCTATCCGACCAGCTATTATGGCTGTCAGGACCTCTAGCTGGGCCCAAGACAGAAAGGGACAGATGAGTTCCGTTAGTGGTCGCGTGAACGTTCATCAATGAATAACCTGAAGAGTTGAAACTTTCAGATCAATCTTACGTAAGTGTGCTCGTGCAGGAACAACAATGGGGAAAATTTAATTCAGGACCCCAAATGGCACGCAAAAACAGCATTCTTCTGTAAAACGGAAAAGGTGGTAAAAAGGGTTAAATAGGTTTGGCGTATCATGACGGAGAACAGATAATTGTAGAATTAGAGCGTAGAAAATGCCCCAATGGAGCCCAATTAGAGAATCGTTGACTCTGTGTCAGAGATTATATAGAGTAAGCATAGAGACTATACAGAGTTGATACGGAGATAGCTTCTACGCCATTGGCGTCGACTATATCTGCTCTATCTCATCTCTATGTAACCACTGTATCATATATAGAGTCGACGATTATATCCAATCGGGCACTATTGAGTCATTTTAATTATTACGCGAAAGTATTTGGTTATTTAAATAAACTGTTTCGGACCGTAAATTACACATTCACCCCAATATTAATAAATAACGTTACTTTTCTTGAGCAAAAGCTTTCATGGTTTCATGCTTTCTGTCCCATTTATTTTACGTGCGGTTTTTGGCGATGATGTTATGCACTTGGGTTAGTTTATAGGTTTTATCCCTCTTCGCATCCTTTCGAGGTAATTACGCGCATTATAGTTTCAGCGTGCGTAAAGGTCTTTCATTAGGATTTATTTTCTTGTCAGACAACAGTAGTTTGTATAGTGCACCTAGTCCCAGCATTTTGTCCTACGAAAATTGTGGTTAAAAGGTTTTATGGGTTGGGAATTAGAATAGGCGGTGGAATACACTTTAATAACTGCTATGTGTTTTTATTTTATTGTATTTTGAAATGTTGTTAATTTATATCTGTAGATTTTCCTAATATGTATTATCTTTTAACTTATTGCGGAAAAACCTGATTATCAACTTGCGGGTTTCCTAAAATTCCTGAAAAATAGAAAGGGTAGTTACGAGGTCGTCTACTTCAACTTACCTCAGGTCCGACTTACCGTTCTGGAGTTAGATTAGTGTATTCCGCGACGCGAATCGTCGGGCACACCTTCAATTCACATGCAGAAAAACTTACTCCCAGCGGCCGCTGGAAACAAATTCGACTACATTTTTTCACTGAGCACATACTTTTAACAATTTCCTTCCCTATCCATCCTATTTCCCCACCCCCCAAAAGTCTCATAAGCATCGTTGCCTTAGAATAAAATGCTGGGACTTGGGGTATATGAAGTGCCCTACATGGCATACTTTTGCCTGTTGTCAATTCAATTCCTCAATCTTCTTCATCCAAATCGGCATTAGTACTCACAGGCAAATGACGCTCTCTTTTGCCACTTGCGGTTCTTTTGGTGCGACACAAACCCTTGATTTTACGACTTTAAAGGTCTGCCGCAGCGTCTGCGAGGTTTGCTCGGACGACCTCCTTGCCATTAACGCACATGAAAGGTTAGCTTAGTGGTTGAGCCATGGGTGTTACAATTAGAAGGCAGTGGTGGTAGTGGTATCGTTAGGCAAGATCATAAACTAGAGTAAAGGATTATGTTTTCTTTTTGCTTGCAAGCACTTGCGTGTTCACTTGACCGAGTAAGGCTCATGCGAATCATAGGGTGAGTAGTCGTCCCGATTACAGAGTTACATTATTCGCCCACGTTCTATCGCCCACGCGCAACAATCCGCTAGATGGCAGAACTAGTTGGCCTTAAGTAAGCCTACGCTGCACATCTTTTAAAACGGGGAGTACGTCAAATTAAAGGCTTCCCCTTTTCCTCCTGCACATGGAGGA